ATTACTACAGTTCCACATAATATTAGAAGTCCGAGCCAGAACAATTAAGAAGGAAAAAGACATAAAATGACATGACAGATGACTTGATAATATCCATTGAAAACCCCAAAGACTTTTTTTAAAAATACTAGATATATTAACTACAGTTAAGTAACAGATACAAAAAAAAAGACAGTTGTATTTCTATATGAAAACAAAGAATAAGAGCAAAGAAAATTTTTTAAAATTCCATTTACAATCACATGAAAAAGAATGAGATACCCAAGCATAAGCTAACAAAGGAGGTAAATGACATTGAAAACTGAAGACATCCTTAAAGTAGATAAAAGACACAAATAAATAGAAAAATATGTGCTCTTGGGTGGGAAAAACAATAATCACCAAAATGGCCATATTTCCTAAATAATTTACAAATTCAATGCAATATTCATCAAAACCCAATGACCTGTTTCAAAGAAATAGAACAAATAATTTGTATGGAACCACAAAATGCCCCAAATAGCCAAAGCAATCGAAAGAAAAGAAGAAAAATGTTGTTTGTATTTTGAAAGTTCAGGGTCCCTCCTTCCATTGCTGGATAACATTGTGCTCCTACCACTTTTGTGTCTGTGGGCTATTAATAACCAAAACACATATCTGACAAAGCACAGCACAAATGCTTCTTAGACTCTGAAAAATATACTGGTTACCAGAGGAAACAGGGAGAAGGGAGGAGGGGAGAGGGGAAGAAATGAAACATGTCATTGGCATGGGATTTTGGTGGAGGGTAAGTGAAGGATATGCACATATTGAGCTACAAAAGTGTAACCCCAAAGTTATATAATTTGTATATGACTGATAAATTCATTAAAAAAGAAAGGTAATTTAAAATATATCAGAATGCAGACAATACTGAACGAGCCCATGCTAAGTTAATGCTTTTTTTTTTAGAAGATTTATTTATTTATGCATACAAGAACTGGGATATAGGCCAGAGGTGTGGGGGAGGGGATGTGAGAGGATTCGCCAGAGACAGAGTGGGGAGCAGAACAGGCAGATTGACCGAAACACACTGCTGAGGGGAGCAGCGTGGGGACAGGAGAGGTCTGTTGTGCCATGTGGGTAGCTCCCTGGCCGGCTGGGGATCGAACTCATGCTGCAGAGGCTGCAGATAGCTTCACAGTGCTGTGCTTAACCCCTTGCGCCACCAGGGAGGCCCGCTAGTTAATGTTTTTGAGTCCCATAAGCACTGTTCAACATGTCTTCTTCACAAAGATGAGGATCATAATTTTCCTAAAATTATTAAAAGTTATGGAAGGACTATGTAATTTTTCCAGTAGTCAGGATTCATTCACTCACTCAATTTTTAAGAAATATTATCTTAAGATTGAGCATTTTATTTAATAAAGTGTTATTGGTTTAACATCAATTTACAATACTATATAAATTTTAGGGATACATCTTCACCTTTATGTGTCTATAAGTCTCACTTCAACTGATACAGGGCAGCAAGGGGCACTAAAACTGACCAAGGACACTGCCCAAATTGTTTACTGGTCACCATCTGAGAATTTTACCTGTGCACAATTGCCAGATTACTCAGGTTCACAGGACGACAACAATGGGATTTATTTTACAAACCAGGGAAAAACAATGAGTTACTGAGGCCAAAAATGGCCATTTACTTCACCTGAAGCAGTGTCCAGTGTTTTAAAGTCCCAAACACAAATGCTCACAAGATAGCATCTTCCCACCACTATAGAACCAGAGCACGTGGCAGCCAGACTATAGGCCAGGATCCAACTCACGAAGACAAGAGAAGACACACAGATGATGCTCACAGAGCTGCCGAGATGCCCCACCACAGCACCAGACAAACAACGCTCCTGACAGCAGCTGCAGTGGCTGAATGTTCCTCCAAACGGCCCGACTCACGCAGCTTCACCTTCCCTGCCAGGTTATAAGAGCAGCAAAGCTGGGAACAGTTTCAGTCACTGGACTACTTGCAAAGCCTCCAAATTTTCCTCTCTGGAGTTGACTGCCGGAAGCTTCTCCAATTCCTCCAAGGCCCTCAGCAGCCTTCTGGAAGATCTGCGTGGTGGGGGCAGAAATCGCTGACTCTGGAATCACTGATGATCTGAAAGTGCTGAATCCCAAACACTGACTCCTGGAGGCTGCTTCTGCAGTCCCTAGTATTTCTTAGCAGAGTCTCCACCCCCACCCATACTTTGCATTTTCCCTGGGACTATCCATCCTCACCAGCTCCCCCCTCTAGGGGGCGCAACCTGTAACAGACTTTGGCTTCAGCCACCCACCAGTTACACAAGCACCATCCAAGTACTAGTGCCATTCCCAGTACTAGGCTGATGCCTTCTAATCTTTCCTCCCAACCACAGAGGACATGGCAAATCTCCACATGAAGTATTTATTTTTTTGTGCTGTGATAAAAATAGGACATTAATTGTGTCCATTAGGACTAAATGTTCAATTTGGCAGTAACAGCACTAATAACAATGAAAAAATGCAATTAAGATTTAATCATGTGTCTGGTATACAAATGAGAAGAGAGGAAGAGGAAGATATGGAGGGGTAAGAGAGAGAAAGAAAGAAGAATGGCATGAAGAGAGGAAGAAAAAGGAAGGATGAACCTAAGGACAGAGAAACGGAGGAGCAGAAAAAGGAAATAAGGAAGACTCTTGCTAAGCCTCTGACTTCTACTGTACCCTCTATGGCTAAATTCCAAAAATGTATCTATAAACATTATTTTTACTGCAATTTCCAACTTTCTTCTCGAATTTTTAAAGCACTCATTCCATTACCACTAGTCCTAGAACCCTGTTCCTGATGCTTCCTCTTCTTTTCCTAAATCTAATAGTACTTTTCAAGTTCCAATTGAAGTCATTATCACAGGATTTTGACACACTCATTTGCTTTTTTTTTAAAAAAACTTTACAATTATAATAATTGATATCATATTCCTAACATTTTCCTGTAGCCCCTTTTTCAGAGCATTTTTGGTAATTCAATTCTACCTTAGTTTAATGTTCAAGTTTTTCCTGGATATTCATACTATATCCTTGACTTGATCAAGTCCTCCGCCTCATGATCTTAAAAACTAAGTTTTTGACCATCACTCCCAAATTCTTTATGCAAATGAACTCTTTTCATTGGAACCCTAATAACATATATCAAACCCCAGGCTGGATATCATTTCCTAAATGTTATCTCATGCCAAACAAATAAAAAAAGAACACTAAAACAAACCCTCTTCACCCATATCTTCCTTGTCTCAGTGTATGCTCTCTATATTTCCTCATTCCAAAAATGTAAACATGATTGGAATTTCCTTTTTTTCTTATTCTTAGAGTCAGGTATAAAATCTATTGATCCCATATATTAAATATATCTCATTTGCATCTGCTTCTTATAACTCTCTTATCTGACTCTGGTCCAACCACTGTTATCTTTTTGTTAACACTCTTTTCTAGGCTTCGGATCTCTTCCCTTCTTCTGTAGCAGGACTGATGTCCTTAATGTGCAGTTTTTATTTTTTAACCATTCTAATAATAATTCATTAGTAGCTGCACATTTTTATTAAAATGAAAACTAAATTAAGGTATCTTTCAGAATGTTCTTCTAGCTCCTAAAGTTTCATAGTCACTTGTTCAGCTGATTTTCTTACAGTTCTGTGGATTCTCAAAAATTTTTCCCTTTCCGTTTTCCTGCAAATTCATTTTCTTTTTTAATTACCCATGTTATTTACCTCAATCATCAAACTTCAGCTACATGTCTCTTTTGCAGGAAAAGCATTACTAATTAGGTTTACTAATGCTGATAGCTAATTATGAATATAGATGTCGACTTCATACCATCTGCTGGTCTGCAAGCAAGGTATTGTTCTCCATTTACTCTACTATTTCTCCACCTTGGTTGTGTCAATCAGTATGTTTGAAACAATGGCCATATCTTTAATGGATGTTCATAAATATTCCACAGATGACTCAGTTCAGTGGTTTTCAAGTAGCTCGTACTATCTCCGTTTCTAAACAGCATTCTTCTTCTATCATCTTCTCTTTGGATGACAAGCTATGAATTGGATTTCAAATACCAGAACTCAGTGCATAAACTATGAAACCACTTCTGTTTACCAAGCAAGAACAGTTACTGAGGTGCATTTATTTAGCCTAAATAACATCAATATTTCCTTCTATTTTCACTTTCTAAGAAAGGTCACCATCATTCCATTATTTTAGACAGTAATAATTACTATAAGAGAGCCCATCATTACTTCTCAATTGTGATTCCGCAATGGTAGCTAATATAAATTATGTTTCTATAGTCTTATTCAAGGAGTCTTAATGATATAATATTTAACAGAAATATATAGTGAACAAATTATATGCAATAAGGCAACATTTAATAATATCAAAATAAGTTAAGAATAAGAAAATCTTTACAACAAGGGGATAATAAATCTTTTACACAAAATTCACTTAATTGAGTTACATTAAGTGAGCTTAGAGTGTTAGTTTCAGATATTACTCACCCTCAGAATGAATAACTTCAGATTTTACTCCAGGAAGACCAACTATATTGTATGATATAATTAGATATAAGGACCATTTTTTGAGTAGTCTAAACAATAGGCTTTTTTCCAAAATTGTAGCTACAGGTGTGGACTCTAAATATTGATTCAAAATACTGATTAATAGTAACTGGGTCTAAACATTGATTAACTCAGAGAAATACAATTTCACATGGCAACAATGCTACAAGAACATGTCATCAAAATGCAAAGAGCATATTTCCTGTCCATAATAGCTAGAGTTATGCTACAGCAAATTTTCAGATTATTCTGGAATGTGGATTATAAAAAGTAGTTCCAGTACTTTGTTTTCATGAGCATACATACTATTTAAGTCTTTTAAAATGTTATTCAAGCTGTGAAATTGCACACACATGAAAATTAGCATCAGTATTTTGAGCTGCAGCATTCTTACTGCTATAATCCATGGGTTTCATTACATCTTCAGGGAAAACCATTTTTTCATCCTACTTCGGATCTGCTGTGTTTTTGCACTGTAGATGATGGGATTCATCAGCGGTGGGAAAAGGATATAGACATTACCCATAAGGACATGAACCAAAGGTGACAGGTGCTTTCCAAAGCGGTGTACCATGGTGAGTCCAATGATGGGGATATAAAAAACTAACACAGCACAGATATGGGAAACACAGGTCTGCAAAGACTTGAGTCTCTCTTCTCGAGAGGCAATGGCCAGCACTGTGTGCAAGATGAAAACATAGGAGATGAGGATAAGGACAGCATCCAACAACAAGGTGCAAATCACCAGCGCCAGGGCATAGAAGCTGTTGAAGCGGATGTCAGAGCAGGCCAGCCGGAGCAGGTCCTGGTGCAGGCAGAAAGAGTGGGAGAGGGTGTGGGGGCGGCAGTAATGGAAGAACCTCAGGCGGATGATGGCTGGAGGTATGAGCAGGGAACTCCTACATAAGATTGTCACCCCGATTTTTATGATTTTGTCATTAGTGAGGATGGAGGAGTAGCGTAGTGGGTTGCAAATGGCAATGTAACGGTCAAATGCCATGGCAAGGAGGACAGAGGACTCCATGAAGGACAGACCGTGGATGAAATAGGACTGGGCAATGCAGGAGTCCAGGCTGATATTTTGCACGAACCCCCACAGGATCCCCAGCACTGTGCACATGGTGGACAGCCCCATGCACAGGTCCGTGAGGGCCAGCATGGCCAGGAAGTAGAACATGGGCTGGTGTAGGCTCGGCTCAGTCCGGATCACATGGAGCACCATACAGTTTCCCAGGAAAACAACAGCATAGATGGAAGTGAAAGGAATTGAAAGCCAGGGGTAATACTGTTCCAGTCCAGGGAACCCTGTGAGAATGAATATGGAGGAGTTGAAGATGGAACCAGAAGAAGCAGACATGACTATTTGAAGGTGATTTTCAAAACAAATGGAGCTGAAGAAATAGACATGGATCTTTGAAGCTAATTTTCAAAAAGGACAAATATTTACTCACAGTTTTATTTAAGCTGTCTGCTGTCTTTGAGAACTGCCTCCTGAAACACAGCTACTCAGGGCACAGCACAGGAAAAGCCAGTGTTAGAATGCCAGGGCAGCTCCACTGCACAGGGAAGCTACAACACAGAGGATATGAGGGCCCGAGGTCTCAGGGGTCATTGAAGTAAATCAAGGTCCTGATCTTTTTAGGAAAATGACATCTTTCACTTCATTCTCTCGAGACCTCTCTGAGCCACTTGCACCACACTCTTCAGGTAACAGTGGCTAAAGACATTGAGAACATCAGGCTGCTCCTGTGTCACTCTCCGATGCTCTCAGTTGCCAGCCCTTAAGGCACAGGGCATCAGCGTGCTCATTTTATGAGCAAGGGATGAAAGGATTGTGCAAGCCAGGTGAGCACAGACTTCTGGGAGCCCACTATTCCCTTTTGGGAGGGATGCAATTGGAAGGAGTTCCCTGGCAACTTCCAGACAAGTAGTTTGCCGACTCTGAGGCATGTATAAAAGGTAGTGTCCCCAGAGTCCATTCCTCTTCTCTACTCTTGGGGAAGATTCATTGTATTGACTGAAATTTCAATACTTACTGAAAAAAAAGATGCAGTGTTTACCACCCTTGGGAAAAGATAGTGTCAGTTAAATAATACGGTCTACATCTCAGTCTAAAATCAACAAAGGTGCTGATATAATTTGTTATTTCCCTCTAGTTTCACTTTTATTTTCCTTTGAATTCCTCAAACTTTCTCCCTTTTCTGAACACAAGCAAAATATGTCGCCATTGGCCATGTATGACAAAAGAGCCTTACATATCGAAAAACAGACATACATAAAAAACATTTATAAAAATTCTACATTGAAGCTAACTATATTGATAAAACATTCATTAATATATTAATAAACACATAGTTAATTTTGTACTTTTGTGAAATACTTAATATATTGCATATCTGCATTAATATTATAATCATTATATATAAAGTTATGTTTTTTATTCAATTTCATTTTTTCCATTTGAGACCAGATTAGTTTTTTTTTATTTCTTTAAAAATATTTTTAAATTAAGGTAACATTGGTTTACAAAAGTGCATATGACTCAGAGGTACAGGATGACACCTCTTCAGATATTTGCTGCCACTCCACATCCACCAATACCCCAACAATCCTACATTGTGTCCCCTTTTCTTATGGAGATATTTGAATTATATGAGCACTTTTCTGATCCATTTGAAATTAAGTTTTCCATGATGCCCCACTAGTCCCCAAATTTTTACCACATATCTTCCACAAACAAACACACACACTCTTCTACATAATAATACTGTAAACTTCATCATGAAAGTAACAATGATATAGTTCTAACATTTAATTTTTAGAATCCAGATAAACTTCTGCAATTGTACCATTAATGTAATTTATGGTGAAAATACATATAGTTCTGAATTATGTGTACATAGGCCCTACCTCTTTAATTTCCTTCCCTCTGAAAGTATATAAGACTTTCCTTGATTTTCATTACACTCAACATTTTGAAAAATACAGGTGAAATATTTTATAAAACACCAGTCATTTGGGCTTGCTTGATTCATCCTCAAGGTTAATTTCATGCTATGCAATAATGTCATAAAAGTGACTCTACTTTTATGCATATCGTTCAGATTGTGGGTGGTTTAAATTTCATTACTGATCAAATTTGCTGTGATTTTATATTAAGGTGTGGTCTGCCAGCATTGATCACTATAAAATTATAGATTTTGCTTTGTATTTATAGTATATTGTAGGAGAGATTTTGAAATATTATAGTTATTATTGCTTCATGTTTTGTTATAGTTTTCATTCACTATCATTTGTAAAATATCCATTTTGTTTCAGATTTTGCCAATGGGAACACCATTTGTCTTTTACCTCTTTTTGACATCAGCTCATTTTTTTTTTAGCACTCTTGGATTTTTGCTACAACACCTTCATTGCACTTTCACCAGTTTGGCCTTGTAATCATCCACTTCCCCAAGAGGCTAGATCTTCTTTTAACACTGATTACTATTTAGAAGCTAAGATTTGCATGCAAAGTTTGCAAGTCTTAGCTTCAGAGTGATTTGGGTGACTCAGAGAACTGAGTTAGGGAATTGGTTCACTGCTTTCCAGTTTAAAATGCATGTCATTTGTATTACTTAAAAGGCATGAGTTAAAAATATTGTGAGGTTCAAAAAGTAGAAATCTGGTACAGGGTAAAGAGATGCATCAAAGTTGAGGAAAGAACAAAACATAGAGAAGAAGAAATGCAATTGTAATAATTATACCAAAGTAAATATTTATGGGAGATTAAGCAGTATGGAATGTGCAAATAATTCTGATTCCACTTAGTTTGTTTTCTTAGTTACATTTTATTATGCAAAGGCAGATTAATTTAGTCCATTTCTCTTGGGATCTTATGAACCTTTGGGAGAGTGAAAGGAAGACCTGTGCTGCCCAAGAGAAAAATTATCTATGCATTTCTTATTTTTCTTGAAGATACTACCAGGCACCTGTGGTCATAAATATCATCTTTAAAAATCACCAGAGACTCCCAAAAGTTTAGTCCTAAATCCAAATCCATGTGCTTATAAACATTATTATTTCTGCATAAAACTCCTAGTCTTCTGGCATTCCCAGTCACTAACACTAAACAATATACAGCTAATCAATGGGATTTTGCCCCAAAAGATAAAGAATCAAGTATCTATTTTGCTGAGTTTGACACTAAATGAAACTAATATTTTATCTTCTCAAAAGCAGGCAAATATTAGAAATTAGGGGATCAAAAATTGATCTAATTTGCAATATCTCTTTAGAACTATACTTAGCCTCTATTAATGTCTGCTGTTTCTAACTCAAACTTCAGTAATTCCAGATTTATCCTTACTGGATTTCCTGGCCTAGAGGTTGACTATCCCTGGCTCTCCATTCCCTTTTCTTCCATCTATGCTGTCGTTTTCTTGGGAAACTGTATGGTGCTCCATGTGATCCGGACTGAGCCGAGCCTACACCAGCCCATGTTCTACTTCCTGGCCATGTTGGCCCTCACGGACCTGTGCATGGGGCTGTCCACCATGTGCACAGTGCTGGGGATCCTGTGGGGGTTCGTGCAAGATATCAGCCTGGACTCCTGCATTGCCCAGTCCTATTTCATCCACGGTCTGTCCTTCATGGAGTCCTCTGTTCTCCTTACCATGGCATTTGACCGTTACATTGCCATTTGCAACCCACTACGCTACTCCTCCATCCTCACCAATGACAGAATCATAAAAATCGGGGTGACAATCTTATGTAGGAGCTCCCTACTCATACCTCCAGTCATCATTCGCCTGAGGTTTTTAAATTACTGCCGCCCCCACATCCTTTCTCATTCTTTCTGCCTGCACCAGGACCTAATTCGAATGGCCTGTTCAGACATCCGCTTCAACTACATCTATGGTCTGGCACTGGTAATCAGCACCCTGCTTTTGGATGCAGTGCTTATCCTCATCTCCTATATCATGATCTTGTATGCAGTCTTAGCTATTGCATCACGGGAAGAGAGGATCAAGTCCTTGCAGACTTGTGTGTCTCATATCTGTGCTGTTTTAGTTTTCTACGTCCCGATCATTGGCCTGACCATGGTGCACCGCTTTGGGAAACATCTCTCACCAATGGTTCATGTCCTCATGGGCAACATCTATATCCTTTTCCCACCTTTGATGAACCCGATTATTTATAGTATCAAGACTCAACAAATAAGAAAGAGAATCCAGAGATTATTTTACTTGAAAGGAATATAGGTTTTGAGATCAAATGCAAGTGTATAAAGTCAATGAGAGCAATTTGAAAGGGTAAGAATCAGTAAATAATTAAAAATAGGTTCAATGACTTCTATTTGAATAATGTATTGCATGTTACAATTGCTTTCCTGTCCATTATTTCATACTAAGTTAGTGAATTGAAATGGTTATATTGTGACCCATTTCATAAATCAGATAATGAATATGTAATGGTCTCAAAAGCATAGTAATGTATGAGGTGGATTATCTATTAACATTATATCTCTATGACTCTTGTTATGGTCAGTTGAGTGAGGATAACTTTGGGAAAGTTAAATTTTACTGATTGAAACCTTTTAAGTAATTACTGCAGGATCAGCAATTGTCCTAGTGCATTTTCATTATTCTAGTTGACATTTTTGTTTATTACTTAGTCATCATCCCTACTCTCCAGATTGGAAACAAATCAGGTAATAAATTAGTATTATGGAGATTGAACTACTAGGATTATTTAAAAAGTAGTGAAATAAGCAAACAACAAAACTAATTTTGTACTAGCTTGCCCATCAGTTAAAGACTCTTTTCCCTGTTCTATCTTGACAACCAGTAATTTTGAGAATAGAATGAAAAAGAGTTTATCAATAGTTTATCCAAATAATGAAATTAACAGCAACTACCATGTTTATTATGAATTCACTTCTCATTTAAGTCTTCCCAATTTAAAAAAAATTATGGCCAACTAGTAAATATATATTTTTAACTTATCAAGATTGTTGAGTTGTTGTTTTCTACCACATACACAAATAGTTTAAAATACATAAGGATTCAATGTTATGTCAAATTTTTAGGCAGTATTAGGTGATGCAATTTCAATATATTCTGTTTTTTATAGACTTCACAAATTGAAGGTAAGAAAGAAAACTGTGATGTGATTTGTAGCTGAAATAGAGAATGCAGTTTATTAAATAGGTATGCAACTCCCACAAACATTTATATAACAAATAAAAGTAGAAAAATCACCAAAGCCAGCCATGTAAAATAATGCACACATTTGGACTCTGTTGATACTTATGTTTTCTCAAAATATTATTTCCACTATGAGATATATATGTATACACTTGTATATAAAATATATATATGTACTTTAGAAGGTTCACTTTAGTACTTATACAAACAATAAATAACCTTCTTTAGATGCACATATAGTTTGATGAGCTTTGAAAAGTACTAAAATCAATGATATTTTCATCACACCCAAAAGTGCTTATTTTACTTATTTGTAGTCAGTTAACTCCCACAATCCTAAATTCCTGGCAACCACTAATCTTATTTCTCTCACACGGTTTTACCTTTAAGAGAAAGTCATGTAAAATGATAATGTAATCTTTTATGTGTGGATTCTTTCACTTGCAATGTTTTTGAGATTCATTCTTATTGTTGTCTGTACAGTTTATTTTTATTCTTGAATCCTATTCCATTACATCACATATAAAAATTATTTATTCATTTATCAATTGATTGCCATTTTAATATTTTTGAGTTTTGATTTTGAATAAAGCTGCTATAAGCATATATTTAGCATACACACCATATGATTTTAAAAGTATTTTCAGAAAATTGGTTGAGTTTAGTTTTGATGTTATATTTTGACTGTTAGAATACAACCACTATAATAGTAATAATGTCATATTATTATGACATTATTAGCACATGCCTATTACATGCCAGACATACTGGAAGGACTCAGTTGTGATTTTTGCTATTAATCTTCAGAGCAAATCTACTGGATAAATGATGATCATTTCACTTTTCGTATGACAAAATAGAGATAAAGGGCTTTTAAATTACTAGAAAATAATGGTTGTGCAATTTGGTGTAATAGCATTTTACTACTGTCACTACTGTTTAATTTTTATATTACCCTATTACTATTTCTCTACTCTTTTGGTAGTGGTGTTCATGGTGTAAGGTAACAATTTTAAATTGATATAAATATACGTTTTCTAAGGAATGTTGGAACAATTATTTAGTAGGTCATTCTTTTTTCAGCCAGTATTATGATGTTATGTAATAACAAAATTGTTAAGTAATAACATAACAATTGTTATGTAATAACCAAATTGTTATGTAATAAATTGTGTACTTTATGCTTAAAAAGTCAGATATAGTAAGCTTTGTTTTGTTTTGTTTTTTGGTGTTATCTTGTTCTAAGAGAACTTATCTATGCAGATCTTACCTCATTATCTTGAAAACTCAACATGAAATCTAGAAAGAAAACATCAAAACTAGAAGCTAATTATTAAAGGGAATGATATCACATGAAGTGTTTTTGCTTGTTTCTTTATTGAGTTGGACTTTATGTGGATTATTGAAACAACCTTTGTTTTATTTCTGCAGGTATAAATAACGGGGAAATTGTCCAGATTTTGGGATGTCTGAATATTTATAGGTATGATGTTAGTAAGGGGAAAGTGCAAATGGCTGCTAATAAAAGTAGATGCAAACAAAAGTAAATAAGAAGAAAATGTTGGGAGTGAAATCTTTCTAGGCATTGAGATAAAAAAGAAAACCGTGTCCTTAATTTTCATTGTCATTGATCACTGATTGTCCTTCTGCAAGGGTGTAATTCTATCACATTGTTACTGCTACCACCCTGATGTTATGAAGCTGGCCTGTGGCCCTGTCAGAGTCAACATCATCTACGGGTTGTCCCTGGTCATCTCTTCCTTTGGGGTTGACTCTGTTTATTGTCATTTCTTATGTCCTGATTTTGAAAAATGTTCTGGATACTGCCTCTGAAGATGGTCAGCTTAAAGCACTTAATACCTGTGTTTCCCACATTTTCACTGTCTGCATCTTTTATGTACCACTCATTGTGCTGGCTCTAATTCACTGATTTGGTACATTCACATCTCCTCTCCTCCATGTCACCATGGCCAATCTTTTCTTCTTATTGACTCCAGTCCTCAATCTCTTGGTTTATAGCCTAAAAACCAAACAAATAAGGTCTGCTATGTACAAGGTATACAAGGGCAGGAGACACTGGCTCAAGTAGCCACATGTGGCCTTCATGAAAAGACAGCCTGACTCTCCCTCTTCCATCTGTCTGGGAAATATATCAGCATTTCAAGTTACGATTTTGTAAGGGTTGAGGTATTTTCTTCTTGTCTGATAAGAAGAGGGTGGCATTTTTTTATCCCTTTCATCGCCAGCCAGTGTTATTTCTCTTCCAACTTCATGATTCAATATATTTTTCACATGTATTATATAACAGCCTTCACATGGCTGTAAGCTTTTACCAATTCACTTCAAATTTTAATACCAATCTCAAACAAAACTTCCTCTCTTAAGAATGTTTCCTACCTTTTAGTAGAATTGTTGCTTCCTCTTACCCCTCAATATAACCCATTAACAATTTTATTACAGTGTATCCAGCATAATTGTACCAACTTTTTCTTGTGTTTCTTCTTCAGTTTATTGAGAATTGTTGTGGAAAGGCACTGTGTTATTTTACTCTAAATCACTTGTCCTATTCATAGACACTGTAAGTTCCAACTGTTTTCTTTAATAAATGAATGAATATGAATGGGTATATATAATCTCACTTAACAATTGCAACTCTTACTGACATATCTAATGGCTCTTTCCCTTCTAGCAATCAGGAATCATGTCTGTTATCTTTGCATCTTGAGGGCCTTATGAGGTGTGTATATATATAATATATACATATGATGGATAAATTAATGAACATGTCAGCTGGCAGATATCACTGTTTATATATTACCTGTAAAAGTGTAAGATTTCTACATTAAATGTAACTACTATAACAACATAAAAAAACAAATTCATGTGCAGAGGGAGTTTGGAAGAAAGAAGCATTTGGAAGGGAAGTTCATGAATTTGAGGAATGTTATGATAAAGAATATTTCTGTATGTATATACCTATCTAAAGGTCAAAAAGTAGAAAACATATCAAAGTGATTATGGAAAATATAACCATAACTAAATCAAAGCAATATATAATACAATATATAAAATAAAAATCATATCATCTATAGGGCACTGGGATAAATACCATTCTCTGCAGAGTGTGCATTTTCATAAATTGGGGTGAGTGGAAAGAATTTTTGTGAATGTGACTAAACTTTTGGATAATCAAAGAAATAAAAAATATTACCTTACTACTACAACTCAGGCATTCTGCTATTTGATAGATTTAAAGTAGTATAGAAGGCATTAATATTTATTCTCTTGTAGATTTCAATTCAATAGAAAACGGAGACAAAAATAAAATGAAATCAAATATAATAAAACAATGAAAGAAGAAAAATAAACTACAAATTTAGAGAATGATATAAAAATTAGTTGAACTCCTTGAATTCTTTATAAAGTTGCTAAATCAACAACTATATATGGAAGAATACTAACTGATGCTGGCACTTTATTTCCAGTTCCTGAATATTTATGCTTGGTTGATGGTTCCAGATGTTTTGGGTGGACATTTTTAAAATTTCAGTCTCCACTCTTCCTTCCCTTCTTCCTCCTTGCTTTCTTTCTCTTTGGCTGAGTTTTGTTGTTATTGTTATTGCTGTTTGATCTCTTTCATCATCAAGAAATTAAGAGGCAAAAAATGGAGATCAACCTTCTCTGACAAGCTAATCTGTAGTGATTCTTAATCCCTGGAACTGCCTGCAGACTCATAGATCAATTATAAGGAGTAAGAACTAAGGTTGGCTATATTTCCATGACTTGCTAATGGTTTCAGATATTGGTGACTCATCCAAATAAGACTCTTAACCAGTAAATAATTTGGTTGCTTCTCGAACTTCACTAAATCTGTTTATTGAGAAGGGAGAAGGGAAGACCACTGAATAATTTTCTACCTCAGCACAAGCTAAAGGACTCACAATCTCACGTCTGTTTTCTTTTCTGAAGGAATTTCTCAGGTCTGTTTTTATTTTGTTTTGTATTCATTTTCTTCTAATATAGACAGGCATTTGTTCCACATAACTAAGGAAGATGATTATCACAGATGAGTTGGTGTCTTTCTATTATGCCAAATAAAAGGGAGAATTTTTGACACTAGTTCTAGCATAAACCAGAAAGGAAAAGAATGTTTTTTTTTCAGTAATTTTTAAACTCTGCTGAAACATGAGGAAAGAAATTCATTAGAATTTTGAGAAAATAATACTAAGTAATGTTTCACCCAAACTATAGAGAGAAGTAAGGACATCCTCAAAGAAAAATTTCTTCTGTTTTAAAAATAATGGAACAGTTACTGGAAAATGATCCCAAATTTGCTATACTTATGTTTAGAGAAGCCAGAGTTAAGAGTCTTTGTTCAGGGGAAAAACTTACAATAAAGAAAATTATCAGACTGAAACTTAAAAGTAGAGAAATGGTTTAAAATCAAAAATTTATTTCAGTTTTGAAGGTACGCGTTATACTTCTCCATTAATCTGTCAGTAAAATCAAAACCAATGTCTTTGTTATTATTGCTCCCTCTATCTTGTTAATGTCTAACTGATCACAGCTAAGTGAATGCATTTCAAGTTGAGATAGATTTCAAGCTTCTGTGATCTTCTCAGTCTTTCAGGCAGGCATTCTAAATAAACCTAGCACTCACTGATTTACTTTGTTCAGAATTCCTATTACAATTCAAACCAAGTCACATCTTCACTAATTATATTTTGTTACTGGGTTTGGGGCTGTTTCAAGATTTCCATTAGTAGAATGTAAGCTATACAACTACCATATTTAGATGTTCTATATGACTCTGAAACCCACTATGTCAGGCAAATACTTAAAATATTTTCTGATTGATTACTTAGGCAATCATTTAGAAATTCATTTAAAACTTCTGGAAAGTAGTTTGCAATTCTTGATGATGCCACTATGTGTTTATTTATTGCCATGGGCAGTGACATCTCTTCCTTTCACTTGATTTTTATGCTGTTTTCAATAAGACAATTCTTCATTTTCTTATCACTCTTCTGACCCCGGAAGATAATAAATTAATTCATTTTTCCACTTGGAGAGCTAAAAAATAAATGTATCCTTGTTGCAGGATATAATCATATCTACTCTCTATTTAGAATGGGAAACAAAACAAAATCTAAATTCAGTGTGAATTTTGAATGAAGTAAACAAGATGAATAACAATTGATCAGATCCTTATGCATTATTTCTTTTCAGACAACTCTTTTATCTTTTGCCAAAAGTCAGAATGTTCAGATATAAACCAGTATACAACTACAAGAAATGGTCAGAAATATTAAACACTTAGACATAAATTTATCACCAATGTTGAATTGTAATGCCTCAATATAAGAAGGCTGGCAATCAAGAATCAGATGACATCAGGTTTTCATTATAAAATTTCCCCCTCATTGATCTTTAAAGTCCAGATATAAACTCCTCAGTCCAGATATAAAGTCCAGATATAAACTTAGCTGTTGAACTGAGGTTTACATCCAACTTATCCACCAAAAACACTGAGCTTAGGTTCCGATTGCCATTTCTCCTTCCCACTACCAACAATGATCATTCAAGATCATAGTTGTGATCATTTATTTGTCTTTTTTTCCCTCTTTAGATGTAGTACTTCTTGAAGGGAAGACCTGAGTATTTTTCATTTTTTTACTCAATTCATGGTGCCTAGTATACTGTTGGCACATAGTAGATCCTGTAAAGCACTTTTAATTGGGTTGTCACCTCTGATAGAGAGAAAATATCATTCCCCTGCAATGACACGTTGCACCCAAAATCTCTTGCGCAGGGCAGCCTGAATCTGCCGGGATTTAAGACTGTAAACCAGAGGGTTGAGCAGGGGCGTCATGAGAAGGTAGGCGTTGCTCATGGTGGTGTACAAAACTGGGGAAGTATCCTGGGTGTAACGATGCAACACTGACAGGCTGATGAGGGGCAGGTAAAACACAAGAACTGTACATAAGTGACAGGCACAGGTGTGCAGTGATCTCCAATTTCTGTCTTGAGTCTCTAACTTCATAATAGTGGCCAAGATCTTCATGTATGAAGCTAGGATGAAGACAGCATCCACTGCAAATGTACAGAGTACAAAAATCAGTCCATAGGCACTGCTGAAAGTAACATCCCCACAGGCCAGGTTCAGCATATCTGGGTAGTAGCAGTAAGAGTGTGAGAGGATATTGGATCCACAGAAAGGAAAGGTCCTGAGGAAAAAAGGGAGAGGGGCCAGCAGAGCAGCTCCTCGTATAAGGGCCGCTCCACTTAAGCAGGCAACAGTGTAGTGGTTCAGGATCCTGTTGTAGTTTAGAGGCGCGCAGATAGCTACCAAGCGATCAAAAGCCATGGCAACCAGGACTCCTGATTCTACTGAAGAAAAGGTATGGATGAAGAACATTTGGGTTAGGCAGGCATCCAGGCCAATGTGGCGGATATCAAACCAGAAGATAGCCAAGACACTCGGCATGGTAGACAAAGAAAGGCCTAAGTCAGTAACGGCGAGCATGGCCAAAAAGTAGAATTGAGGTTCATGCAAATTCTGCTCTGCTCTAACTAGGATGAGCAGAAGAGCATTCCCCGCAAGGGCTATGAGGTACAGGAGACAGAAGGGAATGGAGATCCACATGTGTGCAGCCTCTAGACCAGGAATGCCAATGAAGGAGAAGGTGGGCCTGCTGGAGACCGTGTTATTAAAAGCCGGCATGCTAGCATAAGGATAGGACCGCAGTCTGGGGTGTGTGAGGACCTATAAGAGAAATCATGTGACAGGAATATTGAAAACCAAATTTAATGTATTGTTAATATACAGAGTTTTAAAATGAAGAGATGAAGAACTTAAACTTTTGTTAACTTCATTTTTTTTCTTTTGATACATGGATACCAACTAAGTGCATAAAAAGACACTCAACTTAGGCCTCATGATACAGGGCTTACATACAGTGCTATCAAGCTATTGCCAGCCACTGCAGCATGAGTTCAATCCCCTACTGGCCAGGGAGAAATCCACATGGCACAGCAGACTGCTCTTGCCTCCCCCGCTGCTCCCCTCAGCAGTGTATTTCAGTATATCTGCCTGTTCTGCTCCCCACACTCTCTGGTGAACCCTCTCACTCTGCACCTCTGGCTTACACCCCAGTTCTTGAACACATAAATAAATATTTTTTAAAAAGACATTCAAACAGCTTTATTTATGAGATAAATGTAAATGAGAAATACAATAAGAGAGCACTAGAATAGTTAAATTTAAAATGTGTGTGTTGGTGTGAATGTGGAACTAGAAGTCTCATACATTTTTGATGGGATGAAATGGTAGAGCCCCTTCAATAAGAGTCTGGCATTTTTAAAATAAAGTTGCATGTGTACTTTTGTATAAAAGCATGTATATATATCCACACAAAAACTTGTACACGTTTGTTCATAGACATTTTACTTGACAGCAAAAAAAAAACTGGAAAGAAACCAAATATACATCCACTACTTAATACATAAACAAACTGTGGAGGATCCATATGATTGACATTATAAAGGAAGAAATGACTGATAGATGAGCACATATGCCATGTGAAAGAAGGCAAACACAAAAGATAAGGTCTAGAAAAGACAAGGACTTAATGTTTGTTGATGAGAGGTTTCTAGAGATGAACGAGGACTGTGAAGAGTCTGGTTACAAACAGGCAAGGGCTGATTTTTGTGAGATTAAAATGTTTCATCTCATGGTGGATGTACTTATTACATGAATTAATATATTTTTAAGACATCAAATTGTACTATAAAAAATGGCCATTATATACATTACACCTCAATAAAGCTAAACAAAAAATAAGATTTTTGTCTGAGGAATGGCTTCTTCATCATTCTAAAAAAGTAGCTAATCAAAATGTATCTCTTTAGGACATTATTCCTAATTCCTTCTCGTCAGCTCATTCATAATAGAAATGTCACTGTCACTGGTGATATAACTTGAATTCCATTACCAAAAATTCATTATGTCTTGAATGAACACCAGACTATATAATTTTACATATTCATTTTACTATGATCTAAATACCCCACACATACTACATTGAAAAAAAAAGGTAAGTTCCAACAATATTGTCCTCAGTGTCCTTTTGATTTTTTTCTCCAATTCAATGAACTCTTAACTCCATACACGTATCCTTCTCCTTAGAAGGATTCATAGAAAATTTCTGGGTAAATTTAGCACTCTTGAGGATTCAGTTAACTTCCAAATGTTTGTACTCACTGAGATAACTTTTCCTGGATATATATTCAACTGACTCATAGATACCACTACCCAAATTACTTCACAGGAAATTCAAATACACATCCAAATGTAATCACTAATATTATCCTTATCAATCTTTACAATTTTTTCTTCAGAAATGTTATAGATGAGCCAATTGTATATTTAATGCCAGTTAATTTTATAGGTGAGGTTGCAGTTATAAAGACAATAGGATCATAGCCAGACTTTCTAGGTTCACCCTAGAATATGGCTCAATCTCTAGTAGACATTGTCTTTGGCTAATTAAGTTATCTTTCTGTGCCAATTTCCCTGTTGGAAAAATGAGAGCATTAGTTTCTTCTTTCCTTGGAGTTTGAATGACAAATAAGAAAAATGCCTCACCATAGTAAAATGTTGTCTAACTAGAAACTATTATTATTAAATCTCACCATTGTTCTTCATTTTAATCAGTGTTGCTTTAAAGCAAACTAGTAGTTTCTTATTTGAACTCTATCTCAAGTATTTCTCCATTAATCCATTGTTCATACATTTTTCATAGTCATGTTCTAAAATTTGAATATTACTACTTTAAAGTCCTTTCAATATTTCCCCATAAGTTCCAACATATATTTAACTTCTCTTGCTTTTTTTTTAAAGATTTATTTATGCATACAAGAACTGGGGTACAGGCCAGAGGTGTGGGGGGTGAGAGGATTCACCAGAGACAGAGTGGGGAACAGAACAGGCAGACTGATTAAACCACACTGCTGAGGGGAGCAGCAGGCAAGTCAGGAGAGGTCTGCTGTGCCATGTGGGCAGCTTCCTGGTGGCTGGGGATCAAACTCGTGCTGCAGTGGCTATGGATAGCTTCATAGATTGCGTCTTTTTTTTTTTTTAAATAATAAATTTTATTTTTATATTCCCCCATACAATTGCAAACACCCCATTCTGACCCCAATCCTTCATAGATTGTGTCTTAATCCCTTGCGCCACCAGGGAGGCCCATCTCTTACTTTTTTATGCAGCATAAGACTTTTAAATCTGAAAACTCTATACTCCTCTCATTTCATCACTAAGGCTATGTGATGTTCCTCTGCTCTGTATTTTGTGACAGTAATACTAAAGATATTTGGAACTCTACCCTCACATATTATCTCTCTACATCTTTATAGTTTTATACTCTCTTACATACCTAGTGCATTTCTCTTCAGTTTTAAAAGTTAATCTCAGATAGTATCTCTTTTAGAGAGTATTCCTTAATCCTATCAAATAAAACTAAACATATTTTCTTTGGAAAATTTGAATTTGTCTACCATTGCACCCATAAAATTTTGTCTTTTTCCTTTTTTATTATTTTTAATTTTTTCTGCCTATTAATAAGTCTGCAAGTACTTGACATCATAAGCTTTTTTGTTTCTCTAAATGAGATTTTTTTCTGGGAATTTTATGTATTATGATAAATGATTTTGAGTAATTGACTTAAGAATAATTGAGTAACTTGATTTACCTAAACCCCACCTTAAAAAAAATGATAGTATATTCGAATTTTGATGAGAGTATTAATTCTATGAGATAAAAAAATTACATAACACACTACCTAAAATTTTCTAAAATTTAATCAATTTGCATCTGTTTACAAACTTTCAGAATATTTAATTTATTGCAAAATACATGTGTCAGTGTAATTCAGATATTATAAAATAAAATCTCTTCACAGAAAACATACTAATCATTAAGAAACACCAATACATTTTTAAAAAGTGATAAAATTTCACAATGTAAATATAAGATTTTATATTAAAACCACAAATAGATTTTATTAACTATCATACTATGAACAGATTTCTCTCTCGCTCGCTCACTCTCTCTTTCTATATATACATACATACATATGAGATTATATGTGGTATGAAAGAGTTTGCCTATGTATGTATTTATCTATATCTTTCAAACATCTTGTGTATTATTTATATTTTTGGGTGAATTGTAAAAAATGTCAGGGTATAACTTATCAAGTCAATATTCCAGGTCAATAAAAACAGCTTAAATATGTGTTGGATAAAGGCAGGGGACAGTGGAGAGGTAGCAAATGATGTAGAAAAAGACAGTAATATGGAGGGGAAGAAAAGAATGGAGGGGAGAAGGAAAAGGGAAGGTAGGAAGGAAAAATTTAGAAAATTGAATAAAGAACATTATTTCCAAGTCCATTTTCATATACCAATGGTGGGATTGCATATCAAGTCCCAAAATACTAGCAAAATAGTTCTTTACCTACATCCATTCCATTTTTCTAAGCTGAAAACTTAAATTTGGTTTTGTGTGGTCCTTTTTCCAAAACACAAATTCCCATTTGAATATCATGAAAGTTGTAAAGATAAAAATGTCACTAGTAGAGAAAAGCTCAATAACTCGATTGATATAAGCTTTTCGTCTCATGTTGAGAGTGGGGGTCTCCAAGGTTTGCCAAAACATTTAATGTTCTCCAGGGTTCTGCACCTAAAAAGAGAACATGCTCACTTAATCAAGTCTAATGCATATTTGCAATTTATATTCATGAGATTGGTTTCAGGACTAAAGGAAAAACTTTCAAACAGGAAACACTATCCTTGAAACATGGGAATCTAAATTCTAGCGGTGTAAACACAATATGCAAATATAGCATTAACAAAATTCTTTAAATTGATCATGACAACAGTTATTATAAGACAACACAGATAAGAGTAAACCAATTGTTCAACTTCAACATGTATTACTTATCAACTCAAGATTTGCTGGTTCATCTACCCTGGAAAACTGGTTATTATTATACCAACTTGCTTGAATAGACATTCTCAGATTTACAGTGGTAGCTGACATTACTTATCTCTGAAATACTTCACTTACTGCACAATGAATGACTTTTCACTTTCAAATATATTCCTTGGCAAGATTGTTTTCCCTTGAAAGACACAGAACTTCACAGCTTAGTGTGATGAGAGGGAAGCCTTTCTTCAAGGGCTTGGTGGCTTAATAGTGGTTTAAAAACCAACAAGAGAGGGTCTCACAGGTCCCTTGAAATCTCTGCTGAGATTCAAAAATTCCTGGGAGATTGCAGTCATCACAACTTTAGTTTGCTTTCACAAGGGATCTGAGGAAGGAGGGAACACAACTTAGATATTATACATCTCGGAGAATGCTTTTGTACTAAAGAAATTAAAATTTCTTATTGTTTATGAACACAGTAGATCTAAACAATTTCTTCCTTTATTTTATAAAAAACAAACTGGAGTGAAAACATAAATTGGAACAATGTTTACATAAGACTGTTTAGAAAATGTTAGGAATTTTAGCAAGTAATATAATAACTACACAAAACTATGTAGTGCAAATTTGCACATGCAGGTTGTCAAAACTTGAAATATACAGAATTTTTAATGTATTTTTAGGCAAAACATCCATCATTTTCTCCACTGGTAACAAAACAAAACTGTCTGAATTTA